TGTAATGGGCCAAAAGCAAAATCACATGTATACATTACGCACACAAACATAAAGCACAAACAAACACACATGAGAGACAATCGTAATACGTGAACGTAAACATATGCTTCCCATGTCGTTCAGAGATTCAGATTTCAGTGTATATGTCTCCTCAACGGGTCGCATTTACAGTGGAGCTTCATGCAGATATAGTTGCCATTTTGGTATTGCTGTTGTTGTCACTGCAATAAGTAGATGCTTCTTACAGCCAACGAGGCAAGCAAGCAAACAGGCAAGCAAGCAAGCAAGCAGGCAGGCAGGCAGGCAGGCAGGCATAACATTAAAAAGATTTTTATATGAGTTTCGCTGTCATTATGTGGCTTTTATTATTGTTGTTGTTCTTAATCTTGCTGTTGTTATTTTTGTTGTTGTTGCTGTTCTTGTTGTCGCTGTCGCGTTTGCGGTTTTTTGTTTCCATTTGCCATTGCTGATGAGAATTGTATTTCGTACTCGAAATGTTGACGTTTTTATATAATTTCGGATGCTGCCGTGTTTGGTCGTCTATAGCGTTGTTGTTTTTTTTTCTTATTATTATTATTTTTATTTATTTTTTAATTGTATTTTTTTACAAAAATATTGTTAACCCAACCATTGGCGACTCGTAAAAGTATATCGTATTTTACGGTTTTCATTTATTTGCCTTAAATCATTTCACTCTATAACACCAGGCCTATCAACCGCCGCCGCCACTGCCACCACCACCACCGGCGCTGCCACAACTTATTAACGCTTCGTTCTACACTCGTGCACGCACTACTCTATAATTAAAAATTCAATACCAGATGCCGGTGTTATTTTTCTCTTCTTTTTTTTTCTCGTTTTCTGAATACTCTGGTGTTTTGTTGTTGTAAATTTTCATTTAACATATCTGCCGTCTGCTGTGAAATCTACGCGGCATTCGTTACAATCATTGTTTGATCTTTTCACATATATCTTTTACTTTTTTCTTTTTTTTGTTTTTGTAATATTTATTGAACACTCACACCTACAGCCTCACCGAATAAGTAACAATTATTATACAAATAATAAAAATTAAAATTTTTTAAATTTTTTTAAAAAAAAAAAAAAAAAAAAAAAAAAAAACGATTCCAACACAACATAATGTAAATGAAAGTAAACACTCCTACTAAATTTAGGATTAAGTTTTGATTTCTTCAACGAGTATGACTAAGAATAGAGATTTGTTCATTTTAGTATTCGGTTTGTAACATTTCAGAAACAACGAATGAAAGTAATCGGAGAAGTGTGCCACGACGAGCAACGGTAAAAGAGAACGTCAAGGTCTCTTCTTTTTTTTTCTTTTAATAGGTCAATAGTTAGTTCGAGGCGCAGGCGAAAACAAAGCAAAGTAATAGATAGGCCGCAGTCTAGTGTTAATAACTCAACTCAATCAGATTTAAACGACTCTGTTGGCAAATGATTTTGATTGGATAATCTGTTAACTGCCGATGAGACTTGAGCCGTACTACTTGGCAGTAACACGAATCAGAAATTCATCATCCGAATCAGCCATCGCCTGACATTCCAGGAAACCATATTAGTGCCTAAATTAGTTCAACTGGTTCCTTAGAAGTTTGGCATATTGATCGCGTACTTGATCAATGCATAATGTTTATATTAAAACAAGTTCGAATAGGCAAAGGTGTTTAATTCCTGCATAAGCATTCTCCATTTAACATGCATTTATGTGCCGCTTAAGCGTAACAAGGCAATTAAAAAAGGCAAAAGAAAAAGCCTTACTTGGAAAGGTAAGGCATTTACCTTCATTTTTAATGTTAATACAGATTTTTATTTTGCGGTAACGACTTGAAACGATTTTTCGTTTTCTAAGACGCAAAACACCTAGCAGCACTTGCTAAAGATTCCGCAAGACATGGATCTACTTCATCAAGCGCTATTTCCGATCAAATTACGTACGACACCCGTCGACCTACTAATTGATAGAACTAGTACGCTCTATAGAAATGTAAGTAGGAATTTAGTCTCAATAAAACCTCATAGATCAAGTTCGGGAGTAGTCATGACTAGTCCACAAGCACAACCCTTTCTATAAATAAAAGAGAAAGCTGCAAAAATATTTAAAAAAAAGAAATTTCTAAACAAAAAATTGGATGACAGGTGCGCCTGCGCATATTAAACGGTTTTATTTTTCTTTCTTTTCCCAACCGATTGTGTCTTCAACATATCGGAACGCTTAATAGTCCGGCCAGAAATTTGGGAAGCAAAATATATATTAATATGTGTTTCGAAGTAAGATAACGGTTGTTTGTTAGCACGCCCGCTACTCGGAAGCTAAGTTTCGAGTCTGTGTTGGCTCTGCCATCCATTCCATTGATTATGAGTAAATTATACAATAAATCCTTATATTCGTCGCTGTTGGAGATTATGATCTGACTATTGATGCGAAATTTTCCATAATTATTACCTTTGGATAAATATTTAGATTTAAAACAAGCGTTTACATGGTAATGCCAAGCTCAAAAGCGTAGTTAAACTTAAATGGTCGAGACAACTGTTCGTAAGCGTAACTTTCTACTGTTAATGTAAGCCCTACTCTTGCAGCTTACGTAACCTATCTACCAAACTACCTCATTTAATAATACTATGCTATGGCGGAAGCGAAAATGTCTACTGCTTGGGCTATCTCAAGAGTCTCGGTTGTTCACCTGTCATGCTCACGTCTAACAATATCGCAATAACATTGCAATTTCCTCGCAAATGCCTTGCAAAGAGTGTTTCATATTCGTCTCAAGATGAATGCGACTTTCTCACTGGTTTATTTTTCAATTTTCATTACAATAATGTTAAGCCTAAAACCCGAAAAAATGACTCATGGAAATAAAGGTTTGGCTGTAAATTGTTTAAAAAAAATAAGAAAAATAATAAAACAACAACAACAAAAAGGAAAAGAAAACTAAATAAAAAATCCTAATAAAACTTGTGTGGTTTGTTTAATGTTAATCAGTTAAAGTTTTCGAAAATGAAAACTTAATGATATCCAATTGTATTCAAAGTCCTACACAACTAAAACATCAGTAAATAGGTTACCCTTTTTTAGAAACTTTTACAAAGTGAATCTGTAAAAAAAAACTCTACGTATCCGTATTAAGCATACGAAGGCTTAACGAAATGTCAAGCAATTTTTTGAAAGGTTTTTGAAAACTTTAAAAATGTTTGCTAAGATTTTACTAAATATTTAAAAAAATTGGTAAAAACATTGTTCTCAGTTATTATTATTATTATTATTATTATTTTAATTTTAGACTAATGAAATGAATTCTTAGACTAAAAAAAAAGACATTGAGCACTACACAGGCTATCGGCTCTGCTCTCAGTTAGTAAGCATACAACGTATGTGAAAGCATCGAAAAATGTTTCAGTTGGTAAGAAATCAAAAACGAATTATATTCGAATTTGAGTGGAAACTTCTGATATCCACTACTCGATATCGATACGATATACCATATCGTATATAGTCCTTTTTCATTACTTTTACTTGATCATTATTATATCTTATAATATATACGTAAAATATGGATTGACAAATGAATCCATATTCGGCTGATTTTCAAACCTACTCTGATAAGTTTGCATAAGTAAACAGACGAAAATGACTAAATCGATCATCTTCCTCAAGCTAAGTAGAAGCATAAATATACATACGCTTTACGGGATCTTCTGGATTATCTTTACGGCTTACTAAAGCAAAACGGTAGATTTTCAGCTTAAGTAAATTTCGGTTGATTTAGCATATTGTTATACCTACCGCAGGGGCCTGGGCATATATTTACTTTGTGAAAAAACATTTACAGCAATTAAAAGGAAGCGGATTCAGTGTTTTAAACAATATGAAATTTTTCTTCGATCTGGGCATAACTGTCCATCTATCTATGTATCCGTGCGAGTGTGTATGCATGGCGAAATATCAAAATATCATCACGTACACTAGCTTCGTTGAAGATTATCGTTCCCTTGGGAGCTTTGAGATTATTCTTAATAGATCTGTATGGCCGGTAGACGAGCTTCCAAAAGAATTAATTTCGCGCAGAAAGCAATCAACAGCCACTTCGCCTAGACGTCTTGCACCTCTATTGTCAGTGCTCATGTCATCGATATCCTTATCGCCTGCTCTCTTAAAGAACTAAGTCGCCCTTGAAGTGAGCTATCGTTGTACTTGCAAAATGTTAGAGGCTTGAACACGGGATACCTCTCCAGAGCTTGGAGATGCTGAAACCTTGTATCCAGGCAGGTTTTAGGTAAGACAGAGTGACGAGAACAGGTGATGGTGTATTAATTGTCGCACAAATTTGCCTGTCATCGAATTTATTCCCCAATCTAGGGAATTTTGAGTTCGTCACCGTAAAAGATAAGTTTGAGTTTGATTTTGCCTGTTTTTTACTCCACAGTACGATATATACTGTGAACGTCTTTCTTTTCGAAAGCAAAAATTGGATTTTTTTACGCATTACCGATAAAATACAAAACCTATATAGAAAAGGGGTAAAATTTCCCTATACAGTTTATTACTGTCTGACTGACTTCTTTTGGCCTAAGAATAAACACTATTTAAAATGGCTCGGATCGGACAATTTTTTTGACCACTACCCATATAAAGCCTTATTTCGGAAAGTTGTTATATGAACATCTGTAACGTAATGTAGGATATTTAGTAATGATTGTGTATTTAATGTATTTTAGATGTTACTAATTATTAATAAACGTTCTTTTAATTGGTGGATCAATGGGCGCTTGCTTTAAAAATGCGCGCCTATTAAAAATTCAAAGAGATAGTTAATTGTGAAATTTGTTGCGTTCAATGGCAATTAATAATGTTACATAGAAACAAAAACTTAATTGCCCTAGTTTTACTTTTCTATATGTAGATATAAATGAAACAATTAAAAATTTTACGATCAATTGAAGAAAAATAAAATATAAAAAATAAAATGCGTGATACATACATGTGAAAAGTAATCCTTTTAGGGTATACTGTATAAAAAAAAAAAAAAAAAAAAAAAAAAAAGAAACAATTTTTAAATTGCATAAATAAACGGCGAAAAAAATTCCTTGTTGGTTATGTTGTTGTAGCCTTGTACAACAAGTACTTGTTGGAATGCACTGCTAGCAGCCTTACTGTCTTATTCTCTGCCTTCTGCTTCTTCTTCTTCTTCTCCTACTTCTTCAACCAATGCTATGTTGTCTCTGCTGTTCGTCGCTCGTTTTACTCTCCGTTCTTTTTCATTGCGCCACACGTTTTCCACTTGAATCTGTATGTTTTTCTGTATTGTTTTTATTTTGCCCCTGTTGTGTCCTGCTGCTGCTGCTGCTGCTGCTGCTGCTGCTGCTACTATGACTGCTCTCGCTGCTGCTCGAGCAGCTGACTGAGCTCAATAAAGTGGTTTTAGCTTAATTTAGCAAACACAAGGCGTAGATGCTTTAACTAAAATTCAAGTTTATATGTATATATATAAAAACTTATATACATATAGATGTACATGTTTGTATGTACATATAGTTGCATGTGTTCTGTATATCGTGTTTGAATCTTTTTTCAAGGCTTCTCTTTTTGATTTAACGAATATTTTTCCACCTTTTTTTTTTTTATTTCAATTTTTTTATGCCTGTAGTTGTTGTTGTTGTTATTGTGCGTTGCTTTCAATATAAAAATTTGTTTTAAAAGCAAACCGATACCGCTTTTTCAATTTATTTGTTTATTTCTATTTACCACCACCAATCAACTGACGCACACTTCTCGCACCCGCACGCGTTTCGCACATAAAAACACATATGACGCACTTCGAACAATAAAGGCGCATTCGAGCACAAATATGCACCTATTTTTATTTACTTATCACTGGTTAAATATATATTTAAAATACAATTATTTAAAGTTAACCGAACAAAAAGTGTATTTGCTAGGCTTTGGAGTTTCGAGCTCCTCTTCTATATTTCAATTCTTGTAAATATTTAATCCTCAAGCAAAACTGTTTACTCTTGGCTTTCCTCATAAAATCAATTGACTTCTCGCATATTATTTTCTTTTTTTTCCACTTAAAAAATATTTATTTAATTTTTTTATTTTTTTTCTTTTCCTCAATACTTGGTTGGTTCTTCGGTTAGCATTCTTGTTTGATTTTGCGTTTTGGTCACATATTGAATTAATGGTTTGTATTAAATTCTCGTCTCTAGCAGACGAAAACAGCAAAAACGAAAAAAAATAAATAAAAAAAAAAAAACAAAAAGAAGAAAACCGTAAGTTGTTCGCGTTGTGTTCTATGTGTGCAATTTAATGTCTTAGCCGTTGCTCAATATTAAGAATTTTCTTCAATTTTCAACTTGCAACTCCACTTAATTCTCGTTAAGATCTCTCTAAGAAGTTCACATAAGCTAAGCTAGAAAAAAATTCGCATTTTTCTTCTTTTTTTTTTGCTTCTTCTTATGCAGCTTGAAAATATTTTCAATTTAACGTAAAGACAATCGTTTGTACGCGTTCACCGTTGAGTATAAACTGAATTCAGGCATAAGGAGTGCATGTGTTGTAAGCCAAGTGTTTGGATTGAGATAAATTTTAAACAAAATTTCGAGATACTTTACTGAAAATGTGTTACCACCTGTTCGCACTTTAAAACTCTCTGTTAAGTTTGAATTTTGCAACAGTTTTTAATAACCGCCCCAGCAACGACAAAGACCAAGGGATAATTAAAAATGAATATCTAAACAATTGAAATGGAAAAGAAGGCATTTCCACACAATATTATACGAATATCGGAATCTCCAAAAGTGTGCATATAGAATATTATCGCTTCACTACTTGCTTCTTTTTACCGCTACCCATTACTCCGTTAAATTTGTCAAATATTTGTAACACCTAAAATTAGGCAACGGTGAACTATCATTTTGCTACCATGTCCAAAAAGTAAGACTAATCTTTTTTTTTCTTCTTTTCATGTTTCTGAAAGTAATTCGCAAACTCATATAAAATTCCCTGTTAATAGTTTGGCCCGGAGGAAGGAACTCATAGTATAGCATATCACTACGATAATCGAAGAAAACTATTAATATTACCTTAATTATCGAGCGACTTTGGCTCACTCTTCGCACGATATTCGCTCGATCGGTCGGTTGTGTCCGGGTCATATGCATAGATCCAATTCTCATCTCCCGAAGTTAACGCAAACATAAGCTTTTCTGCTCAACAAAATCGCACGTTGTACAAAACCAAATGCAGTTGAAACACTAATGACATATATAATATGAAATTTGACACAGATCAGCGGTCTGTCACAGTGCTACCAATATAGAAAAAACTACTTCTGATACTCTATATAACGGCGCAATTTAACTTCAATATCGGTCTTACTTTTTGCTCATTTCCATTCTCCTTCATGTCTTCATAGAAGCCTTTGAAGCTACGCACACTTGATGACTTTATTTTATATCTGTCCCATTACTCCCATTACTGCGTTCATAATAAATCCAACTGTCTGAATTCGCGAGCGATTAGCAAATGTCTCCCTCATAGGGTTTTTATTAAAATAGTCAGGCATTACTCAATAAGTTCGTACTCCTTTTTATTTCGCCTGAACAGCGCTCGTAGTCATTTGATCAAAAATGGGCAAACGCGCCTTCACACTGCCTTCTGATATCCTTAAGGTGTTGCCTATCTCGCGCACAACTTTGTATATACTTTTCGACCTTCCAAAATAATTTTATGCATTTTTTTTCAGGTGTTCTGGAACATCTGCCGGGCAACCGCTCTACTCAGTACCACGACTTTCTTTAAAATGAATTAACAACACACAAATTAATTTTTTGAACAGACGAGAAAGTCAACATTACATCTTGATGATTGCGAACGATGTTTTTTTGCTATTAAAAGGCTATGCTTTATCAGCAAAAGAAAATTAGATTTTTCCAATGTATTCAAAAATGCGAAAGCAGCCTCACTAAAGCAACCGTAACTTGTAGACTAACTATTGAAATCTCGGGAAGTTTTAATGCATTCGTTTTGAAGGGGCTATTAACTAAACATCGTAGGATTCCTTCAATCGTAGCGGCATCTGTATGTCAAGCTAAGAGTATGTTATTTTGCTATGCTGCGCCACCAAGTCTTTATTATTACACCTTTAAATGATGAGCTCTTGCTTATGAAAGAAAAGTTTAGTTGACGCTAATGCGTCTTGTTCTTCAATTTATTATTGAATAGAAAGACTATTCGTAGACTCAAGCAACTTCGTTGGACTTTATGCATCAATGATCACTTTTCTTTCATCTTACATCTATTAATCTTTTATCTCATACTCAGGCCTTTTTTCTTTCATGTAGTCCAGATTGACTGTCATTGGGCAGACAGTTTATAGAAATCTGGGCGACTGGCTCAAGTATGTCAACTATGACGACTTGAAAGGCTAGACTGTGCGATAAAAAAAGTATTAAATGTTTTCTTTTTTCTATAACGTGGGTATCTGTATGTCGGCAATGCGATTCAATAAAGACGTCAAACATGGCAATATCATAAAGCGGTTACAAAAATTTAAAGACAGCGATTACAGTAAGTGCCTTTCAATTGCTTTGCGGTTGCATTTTATACAGGAAAGCAAAATAATTGAAATAAAGAAAACCCGTACAATTCAGATAATCTGCAAAACGGTTAGTAGTAAATATGTTTTTGGTATAAAACTTGATCCGACGTATAGTTGAAGCTTAGCTACTTCTTTTGAATTATGGAAGAAAATAGGTTGAGTTATGCATTGCGAAGATATTCAGTTTTATAAATGTGCGTAAATAAATATAGTGTCGAGTTTTAAGGGAATAAAAATACCGTTTCACACGCCAATAGCAATAATGGATTTATTGGAATTTTTTGTATTTTTTTAATATGACCAATCTCTCAGAGGTTGTCCCCTATTCGCGCAACTCGGTGATGGCCAGAAAGAGGTGAAGAAAGAGAAGAATAGACAAGTAGCCGCAGTCCAGGGAATGTGTTCCCGATCGATACGTGTCATGTCTTTACTGACTAAGCAGCGACCAAAGCAAACTTAACCGCGCACTTGACTTGACAGTTGCTGATTCTTGCCTATTCGGTTACTCTTGTAGAGTTGCTCCACATTCTCCCAATCTAGCTCCCAGTAACTGTTATTCATAGCGAAAACTGTGGCCAATGGTTCTGCAACAAAAGCATCCAAATTGAACTGATTATAGCACTCTTGAATAAGACTTTCGACTTGAAAAATAATTTTTTTTTTTTTTTTAATAAATTACTCTTGGGTTCTGTCTTTTATTTTCCCAAATTTGCAGCTCATTTACGCATGATTTTTTAGTTTTTTTGTTATCATTTGGCGACGAGGAACAACGCTAGGAGAAGAAAACGTAGAAGTTATGCGACAAAGGGACATTTCAAGACTTGGAAAGAACAAAATTATTGTGCAGACCGAAATTGCCATAAGAAAAAAGTTTATTTACATAATTTTATACAATACAGAGGCTTCTCGGAACACCAGAATCTCTTAATGTACGCATTATTAGTGCTGTTATGATATTAATAAGAAATTACAAAAAAGATCCACTTATCCTTCTCCCAATTAGAATCATGTAATGCCACGTGAAGACTTAATTTCTATAAAGCACAGAATATTAATTTAATGTGCATGTCGAAAATTGGGCCAATTCGATTTTTTAAGTAAAGAATTAATTAGACTTCAATTATTTATGTCATATGTTATGAAATAACATATAAAGGTTGGCTCTTCCTGTAGGAAAAGATTCAAAAGAACGGATCCGTGTACTCCAAATTTAAAATAATAACTCTATTTATGAACTAACCAAATGTCCTGAGCCAATTCGCCTCATATTAATAATCTTAGGAATTATCCTTATTGAAAGGCTGGCTTTTTGCGGGAATGTTTAATTCACCACTATTTGATGGGTCAATGTCTTTCCATATGTAGTGCTTTACACGACAAATGAACGTGAAAATCAAATTCATTTCTCACAGAGTTCCATTTGAGATTAAACCGTATCAGTTTAGCAGCAAATTTCTTTGAAACACATCGAGAATTACGATACGTAGACTGAACGCACAACAAGGCCGGCCTAAATTCAAAGACCAGTATAGCGAAATTCATTCTGTGTTCACACATGAAACTTAATGTACCCTATGTAACATGTGGTCACGAAAACACTGAATTCGATTTTCAGGGAAAGCATAATACAACACCAGGCGCCTTATATTGCAGAAAGAGGGCTACTGGTGCAAATTGCGAAGGAGTTAAGTGTAATATGGTCGGAGCACTGTCTAGAAGAAGCTTAACTATCCTCTTGCATGCAATTAATAACTCCTGGTCTGTTAACCCTTTGCAACCCAGTCGTGCCCAAGACGCACCGCGACTATTTTTGATAATATTATTCATTAAATTGTGCACGCGTTGTAAATTTTTTTTACTTGGTGTGAGATTAGTCCGGTATATATCAAATGGTGGACACTAGATCATTAAGTCTGAACACTATAGCATTTCTGGCAAAATTGTAGCACAATTTTTTGATATGCTGTTAAGTGAAAACACTGAGAAACAAAATCGAAACAAAGGCTTTTTGATATTCTGTTAAGCGAAAGCATTGGTAATTAAAATTACTTTTTTATGACTTAAGGTCATAAGAATGGAATCAATGAACGAAATTTGTAGCAGTGAAGATGAGTTGGAGATGGTGTTTAGATCGATCGATAACATTCTAAATGAACATAAAGAAGAAAGTAATCAAGACAATAGCAGTGAAGGGTGTGATGAAGTTTATGGTAAAAGAAGAAAAAAATTAGAATAGAAAGCGAAAGTGAAGATTCTTCTAAGCTACATGTGATGCAAAAAGGAGAAAAAAAAGTGTGTAGAGTGTTGCTCTGATCGAACGAAAAAGAAAAGCGGAAAACGTGAAACGATGTATTACTGTGACACATGTCCTGAGAAACGTAGGATACACCTTGAAGAGTGCTGCCTCATATATCACACTAAGGAAAATTATATTAAATATTATGTTTGTAGTATGTAAACAAAAACGAAACATATAAATAAATTACTTTTGTGTAAAATTCTTATGTTTAATGTGTTCCAACTTTTTATTAAAACTTCTGTCGGGTAGCTGAATACCCATACTAAACAAATAGTTCGGGTGCAACGGTGCAAACTTTACACACTTGGATATGCGATGTATCAAAGTAGTGCCCATTCCTTTGTCATAATGTATTTCGTTCTATTTAGCAATTTTTCACTTTTGTTGAACTTCATTGTGCACTTGTAAAACGGCTTTAATTCCTCAGTAAAACCAGTTAAATGTTTTTTTTCCTTTACATGGTTTATAAAAAAAACTATCATAGGTTGAGAGTTGCTTTCAACAAATTGCAACGCTTCGAATGAAAATTTCGATAAATTTCTGCCCGATTCTGTTAAAGTGAGATAAATTTGTTCCAGTTTCTGAGTTGATTTGTACCGACAACGGGTGTAGAAACTCATTCAAAGGGGAAGTAAAGCAAAATATTATTGCAAAAGAACATATTTGATACAATTAATAAACATAGAAAGTTTATCTAATCCGTGTCACGTGAAAAACTTATAAAATTATTGACTTCCGGCAGCTCTAGACGATTTTGGATGTGTCGTCTTTACAACTCTGAATGGCATATATTGCCACTGTTACTTTAGTACACTTACGCCCCAATGCCAATTGCAGTAAAAATGTAAGACAGATGATGTAATGTGTAAAAAGCCACAAAATTTCATTAAAAGTTTATTTTTTTTCGTTTTTTTTTTTTTTGTTTTTTTATTTTGTATACATATATAAAATAGAATATACATAGAAAATGTTTGGATATGCCTTTTCTTGTGTATTATAATACATAAAAAAAAAAAAAAAAACTTTTTATTAAAAAATAATATTCCACAGATAGTTTTATTTTTATCAAAAAAAAATTGTGATATTTAAAAAGAAAAACAGATACATCCACTCTTCCCATCTGTTTAGGCTATTGTTTCCGTAAAATGATCGCAAAGCATTATTATTATTTGCTGAACGATGGAAGTGTACAACATATATATAGAGGGTATTTAAAGCAAATCCCCCGGAAAAGCACAAATAACCATATTAAAATTTAAAAAAAAAAAATAATAATTCATTTAAGTTTAAACTCGAGTGTAAGGCGAATTGTACTTTCTTTTCCCCGACTCTTTTTCATCGATATAGACGGTTTCTCTGGCTACGTCTTAGTTTTGTAAATGCTTTTTTTTCGTTTTGTATATTAGTTTTTCATAAAATATAAAAAATATTATTAAATATAATACGTATAAAAATCGTTTAAAAGAATACATTGTTTTTTTTTTTTTTTTTTTAATAATAATTGCTAATTAGAGTAATACCAAGGAAATGGTATCATTAAAATCATTTCATCAATACATGAGTCAATTGGTAATACTAATAAAGATGATAATAAACTGCAACAAATGCGGTTTAAAAGTATGACGCAAGCGACAGTCACATATTTACGTACATAAAATTTAATAAAATGGAAAACATGCAAACCGATTCGACAAGTTTACAAAACTTACTTACGAATATGCAAATCATTTAAGAAATGGGTTTAGTGTATGCCTTAGAAGTGTAGATTGAAAACAAAAAGAAAAATCGAAAAATGTTGTTGCTTTAAATGATATAGGAAAACCTCTATTAAAATTGACTTTCTTCATGTGTGGTGGTCTTGGTGGTGACTACTTCAGTTTCACCATTAGTTTTTTCATGTGAAATACTAGTGATAACTGATTTAATCACAACCGAACTTGTATTAGTTTCGGTGGTATTGCTGCAAATAATAAATGAATGTGAACACTTTTTTCTATGGAAGATTGGAATAGATCTTATCTTACCTCAGTGGTGCCAAATCCATTAAATTCGATATATTTACATCGGTAACGTCCTTCATATTAACACTGGTCAAGGTTTGATTTGTTTGCGTACTCAATACCGAGAGACGTCCTAGTTAAATATTAAAAAGAAAAATATCATTTTAAATGCATTTATAGTTTGGCTTTGTGACGAAATTCCAATTATTTAAAACATATTACATTTTGTCAAAAAACTACCGGCGAATATCAAAAAAGTAAAAACAACTTTTCATGGAATTTATATGACATCTTTCAAGTTAGGCTTTATTTGACGCAATGGACAAATGCCATGGCCTGAACGAAAGCTCTTTTGGTTAATCAATTAAAATTTTCAATAAAAAATAGTTTTCATTTTGGGAATGCAAAGAAGTGTAATCACATTCGATACATATCTATGGTCAATTACGCTAGTCAGCTAAAAATATCTGTAGAAGAGGTAAGAAGAAATTTTTTCGGATCACAACAAATTACAAGGCATGCCATGCTTGATATCTGAAGCCATTTGCCCCTTAGGAATTTGGAAAAACGTATTTCTTTCAATTATGTCAACGTGTTGTTTATTATACCAACGACAAGCTTTTAATCAAGTGACGCCTCTTCTTCCCGCTTGGGACGAATTCTTTACTCGATATTAATTTACTTCTGGTTTTAGAACGGGACAATAATTTTACTAATGTATTGGTGTTTGCCAATAAAAATAAAGAGAAAGCGACTGTGATATCAATCCCGATATTTTTTTGACATAACGTATTCATGTTCAATAAACCCAAAATTACCTTAAAAGTGTAACATGCATAATTACAAAAAAAATTATAAAAGCTAAACTAAATCAGTGTCCAATCGCCGCCTGCAAGCAAATTACAACAGCAAGTGTAAAAGTAAAGAACGAAACAAAAGCAAAAATAAAAGTTTTCAGGTCATTCGTTCATTTGTTTTTTTTTTTTCGTGTTCGTCCAGTCAATGTTAGTAAAAGAATTGTAAAAAGGTTGCTAAATTAAAGTAGCTTTAAAAAATTAAATAAAAGTAAATGCGTAAAAATATTTTCAGCCATTCACACGAAATTACATTCTATAATATAAGTATATTAGTTATAGACAACAATTTATTATCAAAATTTTTTGTAGCTTATTTTCTGCTAAAACACGAAAACCCTACACTTACCGACTGTCTCTTCGGTGGTGGTCGAACACAAGGTAGTGGTAGTGGCATTTAAATGATCACGTACCGAATCGACAGTTATATCTCCTACCGAACTAGTAATCGTGTCATTGGCTCGATTCGGTGAACTATTTTCACCATTGTCGATACCGTTGGTGAGCCCGGGATTATCTACATTGACTTCAAGCAGTTTAGCTGCTTGAGTAGTAGTTTTGGTGGTTGAAATGCGATTTGGAGCATGAGCTGACAGCTTGGCAGTTGTACGAATGTTATCATGGTATCCTTTGGTTTCATTCCCGTGAAGCGATTCTTGATCAATGGCCTTACCGTGGTCATTAAGCTCTTCAGCGATGTTTAAATCTTGCACATTTACACTACCCATAGGTGTAATTACTTTAGCAGTCGCCAAAGAGATGCGTTGCAATTCAGAGGATGACATCATGTAAAGAGCTTCACCAGAATTGGTAAAGCATAGAGAAGATATGCCGCTAAAAATGTGTGTGCGAGACATTAATTTTTTACTTATTTTTTTCGCTTCTAACTTACTTAATATCTTCCCGTCTAACAGCAGCTGCGTTAAGTTGCCTTCTCAATTCCGGAATGGACAAAACCATAATATCTCCGAGATTTGTTAAACATATCAAAGCCATTTCACGATAAAGTTCTCCTTGTCCCGCCCCAGTTGTAGATTCTACGCTGGTATTAGCGGCATCATGGTGTTCCTGGGAACGCGTTGATTTTGTTGGGCTTCCACCACTCCCGCCCGACATAGCACCTTGTATTATTTCTGGAGCAACACGACACATAAATGAAGCAAAATGTATGCGCCGTACTCGAGCACCTTCGTTGGCGGTCAACTTATACTTATTCAGAGGTTTCAATTGCGGCAACGAGAAAATCTTGAATTGTTCCTCGGAGGCTATTAACACGCGATGTGGCGCCACTCCATTGCCTGATGTAATCTGATCTACCGAACAGCCGGTATTATCGAAAACTGCTATACCCACAACAGGTGCACGATGTTTCAGTTGAATTTCTTTAGCCAGTTGTGCAGTAATACGCCGTGGCGTGTTGGCAACATCTGCTTTATCTCCACTGGACGCCTGCGAAAGTGGCAAATGCAATAAAAACACGGAAACTGTGCTGGCGTTAGTACCGGACCACAAGGTGGGTGATGTTGCGTTTACTGTGCTCCAAAATTTAAAAAATTTTCTTAATTCAGCCTCTTAATGACAGAGCTAGAACAAGCTTACCGTTTGTTATATAAGTTTTGGCAAATGTTAAACAACGCACCATAGAACCCATGCAATCATCTGTAGAGCGCGCCTCGACCTGTCGTTCCACAGGACGGCTTTCCAACTATAATTTTTAATATAAGAATGCTTTACTTCTGTGTGTTTAAGTGAAGATCAACTTACCAGTGTAGTCATTTGGTGTGGATTGTGGCGGGTTGATCGGCCTTTGCGCAGTTTACGGAAGGATTCACGTAGTGATTTCTTAAACGATTTGCGACGCGATAACTGTTCTCCGGAGCCCGTAAGATCTACAAAACATGCAAAATCTCTCAATTCTTAACCAGCCACAGTTTTATTGCTTATCATTACAAACCATTAGGATTTAAAGTGCAGCGATGATAAACAGGTAGGAAATTTTTAAAATCGAACAGCACCAAACCATGAGCGGTGCCACCAGCAACTAAACCCCAGTTAGCCTCTAAAGCCAAACAGGTAATGCTGGCTGGGGGCAATACTTGCAAAACGCCCATTATGTGAACACCTTCATCCCCTATTGGTTCAGCATCCGCTTCCAAAAGTGTGTCGCGAACATTCAATTGATCATGGCCTTTCCAAACGAACCCATCACGATCGCTTACCAAATTCATAGAGTTTACCCTCAGTGGAGCTTTCTTAACCTCATCGGTAACAAAGTCAGCGACAACCATTTGACCAGCACTACCGCCTACAATTAAGTGACCCGTCCTTGGACATAAAGCTAGCTTTTTAACAGCTAAACGAGGATCATCAGAGTAAGGATCAAAAAGACCGGCTTTCCGAAACGGCGGCTCAGAAGGATCAGTGGTTTCTATATTTTCCATCATGACATCATTGTCATGTCTTTATAAAGAAGAGCAAGCGACATAGGCTGAGTTTGTAATTGAAGAAATTTTAAGCGAACTTACCCGAACAACAAAGATGTTCTAAAATTGTAAATCGGTTTCAAAACTATACCGGTGCAATCCCAAAATTTAACCGAACCATCTTCATGGCCAGTTAAAAGAATTTCATAGTCCTGTTGCTGATTTTGATCATTACTCTTAATCTCTTCTTGATCCAATGCCTCATTCAGTAAACCGCCATTTATGGGCCATTCTACGGAACTGTAACGTTGGTCTTGCTCCTCTCCTGCTTTTATAATTTTGTCATAAACTTCCTGCGTTACTTGTGAAGCCAAATAATTGCAAGTAACTGCTGAAGCGTGAACTGAATGCAAATAAGGAGCTTTAATGGGTGATACTTTGGTATTAGTGAGATCGAAAGCACAAAACTCCTCCTCCAGTAGCACTACCAAAACATCAGCTAGATCACTTTCAGCTGATTTATACGTTATAAAAAAGTCTATAACTTTAGAGGTAAAGTCTAAGCAAATTCTATGACCGTCACTAGTATGTACCGACACGCAGTTACGATCACCATACGCTGAACGAGGCATACCACCTGAAAATATCGACATTTCCATGCCTCTATGTAAGGAAAAAACAGAGGGAGAAATTTCAGAGGAGATTTGTGGGAATAAAATAAATGCTTACCCCCTCTTAGCCTTGTAAAGACGATTAATACTTTTACATGGATCAGGGCCGTACGGAACGTTGTTGACATCCTTCGGTGGATCTCCGTTAGTAACATTCCAGGTGGCGAAAGAGCCGTCAGCATGGTACCAAGTAAATTTAGTCCCAGCTGCATTGACATGCAGACCCACGCTTTGCCCATGCCCGGGAGCAATATAAGCTCTCATAACCATCGCATTTTCGAGATCCCATAAAACGCACAAACCGCGATTGTACGCTATTAAGAGTTTATTACGATCGTGAGGTATTTGACGAATAGCTTCAATAGCACCGGGATTCAATTTATAAGTGGGAGGCACCTGTTCCATAACTTTATCATGATAGATAACTGTCTCAGTTACTGAGAATTTTTTTAAATCGAATTGATACACATTGCCCGCCTCTGTGCCAATCCAAACAAAATCGGTACTTAGCGAACAACAGAGCGACGAGACTTTTTTCAGTTCGTTGTCGAAGGCCAAAGATTTGACGGCTAAGAGTGTGGTACCAGCTGGCTCCCAGAGTATTAGCTGATTAGCAGCCGTTAATGAAAGTAAACGTCCCGTACCGTAAACCCATTCTATGAGTTGTACATTTAACTCGGCTCCCATATTATTTTGCAATGTATGCTGACCATAAAACTCAACACCTGGTTGACCAAATACCTTTAAAGCACCCGTTTGCGTGCCGATGGCCATTAATTTGGATATGGGATCAAAGGCCAATGCCGACGGTTTATGCGGAAAACCATGCTGAGCAGTCTGTAAAAAAGTAAAGAAAGACGTACAACGGATAAGAACTAATGGGAAAAATATACTTATGAATGAAACATCTAAGTAAATACATATGTTATAGAGTAATACATCACACGGTGATCAATGGTGATCAATCCAAACTAGAAAAATCTCATCTGCCACTCGAACTAAGACGAGTTTTGCATATCTTCGTTTGATGCAGCGCTATAATGCTCGAATAAAACTAATTAAACTAATTAAACGCTGAAATGCCTGTAACAAAAGGGCTTATTAGCGGCCTGTTGATTGCAGATAAAATTCCTTAAAAAGGAAATGTGAAAAAAAGAACAAGAGCGGAAATAATCGAAGATTTGAACATTCAACTCAAGAGGAAAGTTCCTGTCCAATGACAATTTGATCGCAATTGAAAGCGTAAAAGTTTTTCTCACAAATATTGTCCGCATATATACATACATATCCGTAAGCACACATTTACTCTTTTAAGCGCATTCGTCGTTATTATGCTGCATATCATGCGCAGTATTGTTGTTGAATTTGTAAAAAAAAGAAAAAAAGTAAATACCTTTTGAACTTTTTGATCGTCAATTGTACGTAAACTTTGTTGAAAACCTTCCGTATAGAAAAGCATCTTGCACTTAATTGATTTACATTGTTAAAAACGCAACACTGAAATGGCCTAGAGTTCACTAAAAAGTCATGATTTTACCCAAAAAAACAAACCTATATCAGCAACTGCTACTAACTGCTAACATCTTTTGCGGTTTTATTTTCTCTATTCATTTATAGTTCTTTCTTTTCCTTAACTAACACATTAAACAACAACGATGAGATTTGAACTTGGGGAAGAAAAGTCTTTAAAATAAAACATAAATACGTTATCCCACACAGGTATAATAACCTGTATGAGATGTATGACCGACCATTTCCCTGAGTACATATGCCAGCGATTACAGTGAAGAGAGAATAAATGTGAAAGAAGGTAATGCAAAAGCACCACATTATGTTAAAATCAACAAACCAGTTACAAAATAATACAACAACACAACAAGTTAACGATATGTGTAAGAAAAAATAAATGAACTTCTCCGTGGCTACGTATAAAATGAAACAGTGCATTGTTGTTGTTTTTGTTGTTATTGTTATTGTTATATTTTTGTTTTGCCTTTAACTTTGATATTCGACCCAATTTGGTATAAGAATAAGGTTATGTGGTTGATGAAAGAGAGTTAATTCTTGCATGTAAGTATATTAAATACCCTCGTAATTTGAGATTTGTTTTCTTATTTTATTTTTTTTATTTTTTTTTTTTTTTGTGTTTTTGTTTTTTTGATTATACAAGTAAGAAGAACAGGAAGGAGATAAAGTTCGGTTTAAGTTGAACAGTTAACACACTTATATGAAAAAAGATCATACTTGGAATTGAAGTGTACCGCCAAAATCTTGATGGATCCCAATGCTCTTAGCTATCTTCGTAATGTTTAGGAAATAAGATTAGGTCAAGCCTTTACGTAACCGTATGTAAACTAAATATCTCTGATCGATTCAAAATAATGAGACTTTTTAATCTTCTTTTCCCTCTCATCTCTCGCTCTCTAATCGTTTGTGATGATTCTAAAAAAGTAGATATCAATGATTGACACAAACTATTGACTCGGTTCACACCTCTTCGCTGCTATGCAACTGCTGACTATGTCAAAAACGCAAAACGTCTAAAGTTTTTTTCTTATCTCAGGCACAAGTAAGATGTAATGCCTACGCATAGTAACGCCTTTACTGCTAGAATGCTTGTAAAAATTAAGATACAAAGTATGAATATTTTAGATTGCATTTACAAAATTTAAAATTGAAAGTGCTAAAGCACTTTTATCTGTAAGTACACCTACCTATTAAAAATAAGCAAAATATTTCAACTTTACTAATAGGCCAACCCAATGTTACTCTATATATATATAGTAGCATTGTACTATAAAGATCTTTGCGAGCATACAAGGTTCGCTCGGTGAGATTAACTTGTCGCAAACCGCAATGTGATGGTTTAGCTCGTTCACTCAACAACTCTATAAAAATTCTTAGAAAATGTATGATTCAACCGGTAAGTGCTCAAGTGTATACAATATTTAAACACAGCTCCCATTAATGTGCTATACTGTCATTCCTTATTTATAAAATGTACAAAACCAATTCACGTTTTGCACCAAGGGCCGTTTTCATTACCTTATTCCAGACTGGAAGTGTATTAACAAGTACGTTTTTTTTAACAGGCGTTCTTAACTAGAAGTTAAATTATTTACTTCTGATTAGTATATAGTTTGCTTAGGTTATTGCAGTTGACTTCATACGTGCAGTGATTCGACTTGTTTGCTAATTGCAAATGGGACCCAAAATTATTTTGACAAACATGCAGAGTAAGTAATAAAATACATTATTGAAGAGAACGATAAATGCTTAGAACATTCGCATAATATATCTGTAGATTAAAAAGCCGGCTGTTTGCTTTTATTATACCCTGCACCTGTAACACCCAGACGGGCCTAGAAGAGACCCGCCTTTTGTTATACCGATCCAAGCCCACTAATTGTGTCGATCTGTCAAATTGAACGATATCGTACAAAAAGAAACATCGCGTAAACATGGAACTGAATGTACACATTCTCTTAAGGCTTCTCACTCAGTGCATTATTAACGAAGCGATGCTCGTTAATGTTTGCATTACAACTGAAATAACTTTAGCAGCGCTATTCTAAGCCCAGAGTCACAGTGACGTCGCAGGTCAAAAGCCATTTTCCTTTCTTCCTAGTTTGCATAGCTTAGAAACAGCGCTTTCATTAGCTTTTTTAACAAAAGACGAAGGCACCAAATGTAGCGCGGGATTACAAGAACGCGGAATGATAAGAAGACACTTCGCTTTCATTTATGACTAGAGTGACCAGTCACAGCGCGCCAATGTGGCTATAAATTTGATTCTTTTCCTTCTTGTACGCTCATCTAATCACTACCCATTGAACTAATCGGCGGTTTATAAATATACAACATTTTTAAATTTTCCTTTTTGTTTTTTTTTTTTTTGGTAAATGTACTTCTCCTTTACATATTTATCAGCCTTACATTAATGATTCTTAGCAGTGCTTGTAATAAAAATAAGAAATTAATCGTTTGTAACCACCGTATAATGAGTCAAAATATACACAAACAATTGTAAGAACACATGTGCAAATAAAGAAGCAAAAGTCGATTTTTATTGTTAACATGACCCTCTCTCTCAAGAAATTGCACATCAATCGCCCAATAAAATTTGAAATTGAACGTGAAAGTAGAAGAAGCAGAAGAAGCAAATGTGGCCGTAAATACCGATTTGGTATATATATTTTTTTTGATATTGGAATGTTGTTCAAATTCCACATTAGGTTTTGATTTTAGGATGAGTAACATTTAAACAAACATATGTTTCCACAGCGTGATGAGGATAAAAATAAACAAATGCTATGTTGAAAAGAATGCGTGCAATGCTTCGTTGCTTCGCGGGAATAACATAACATAACAAAACTTATGAATTTCAAATCAAACGAATTATGGCCGTAACATTTAGATTTTACAACGAACAATAAATGCATGTAGTGTATGATTCGTACAACTATTGCATATGTAGAGCATCATGTATATATATATATATATATATATATATTCATAAGCTACTCATCATGGTGATGTTAGGTGTACGAGTTCGCTTAAATAATTCATAGACACCTTAACAGACATATTAATTATATTGCAGCATTTGTAACATCCACCAGATATTCTCTTATTATCGAGTTCTTCAATATAAGGGCATATAGGAGCAAGGCAAGGGAACTGCATCGGTATTGGGGTCCCTCCCCCTCTCCCTCTCTCTATCTCAACCCAATTCACTTTTCAAGGCACTCCTTTAATTAATGGTTAATGTTTAATTAATTATATTATCTCGCTCACCTTAAAAAAAAAAAAAAAAAAAAAACAAAATTCTCTAATGATATTTGGAGCCTAGTAATTAGGAATCTCTTCTGCTGCCTTGATGTGATATGATATGATATAAATGACCTCTTGCTCGCTCTGGCAACATTCTGTTCCGCCAGCAGATATTGAGGAATGCTTGAAAATTAGGACCTGCAGGCAGAGAGCAAGAAATTGTCATTGGTTCGACAACGTCTGGTTTCGTCAGCGCTGCTCTATCAAATGCACCGTGGTTCGTTTTTCGTCAGCCACCAAAAACCTAAAATAGTCGCGTCTGTATGTCAGACTTGTTATCAACTCTAGACAGAACGGGTTTATTGAAGTGTAAAGTTACTTTTCCCGCGTTATTTTACCACAATGGAGGTCGTCTTACGTTGATTGCGCCACAACACTTTAGATGAATTTAATTTTTATATATATTGTAAGTCCGTATTTTTGAATCGCTCCCGTTAGCAAAAATGGTAGCAAAAGCCACAAAATAGTTAATACGTATAAACGAATTCGGGTCGAGCCTTTATTATTTTTAATTTTTTTTTTTTTTTTTTTTTAATCTGCTGGCCTTATTGCGAATTGCAGACTTTTATTGCAACTTTTATGCATGCAACTCGTAGGAAAGAGGACAGCGACAAGATGATTTAAACCGTGACCGAATCTAGCTTTGTGAACAAAAATGACAAAAAGAAACCAAAAAAAAAACAACAAAAGCCTATGTTTAGTGCCCTGCGAATGCAGAAAAACATACATGCATAGATGATGAGAGACAATAACATCATCATGCAATAATGTTTATGCACACTACGGTAAGGTACGTAAAGCACAGTAATGACTGTTTATATTGCTTTTCTCTTTTGTTTTTTACGTGACAAGAGTAAAGCCTGAGTTATGAGGGGAAGCAACAAGAAAAGCATAACAAAAAAAAAAGAAAAAAAAAAAAAAAAGAAAAGAAAAAAAAAAAAAAAACGCGAGATATATTTTATGCTACTAAAGTGGCATTGTCTTCTTCAGCATGATAGTCATTA